GGAAATCCACTGAGCACAACAGGAATTTTGCAGGGAAGGAAAGAAGAAAGGCGATAAAGATAAGGATAAGGATAAAGATAAAGGAGATAAACAGGTGAGATGAACAGGTTTACGTGATGCATAGATGAGGTTCAGGTAGCCACATAGGGGTAGTGCGTCCCTACTTTACCCCACATGCACACCAAAACTCGCTCGGTCATCAACTTTTCAAGAAGATCGCAATGCTCTCTCAGCTTCTGAAAAGTGCAGGATGGTTACGGTTAATAATGAAGTTGTTCCTAGCAGTTGTATTTTTACCTGACTTAGCACGTAAACCTCTCTACTATGTAGAGCCATGTACGCCCACCGTTGCCTTGTCTGTTCCCTCGCTACTTTGTTATGCTCTCTCACCTCTGAGTCATTTTACCCTTTTTAGCCTTGGCAGAGATAACGCAAGTTATGTTGCTAGCAGCTGTTAAGGGTCGTATTCAAGTAACTAGACGTTTAGCAAAAATTACGAATTACCTCTTTTGACAATGACACTGATGATGAGCCCGTGCAAGCGATGTGTCTAAGCGTTTGCGAAAAAGTATTACTCCATTCTCGTCCCAAATCTGATATATAGCTGGAAGACATGATGCTGTAGATACCGCGACTCGCAGGCGCGTGGGACGGCGTGGTAACTTGTAGTACCGCACCTATTCATTTTACAAGCGTGTGCGACTTCTTTACAAATTGTTTGTATTCTTTCCATCAACTAAATTCCTAAAATAATTGTGAGTGAATTGGAACTATGTAGTTGAGTAACTAGTTGAGTAGTGCAGTCTTTCTTTTTGGTCTTCAGCTGCCCCCCAGGAAAGCGTTCCTGTCTCACGTGTCTAAAAAAATAGGGGAATACGCTTGTTTCCGCCGTTGATAAGGTGTTACTATCGCGTCTAAGAGTCAGTGGGGAGTCACCGTTATCTATCAACACATTGCACCCATGGGTGACTCAATATCAGTATGTGGGGCTCTGAGGCTATGTGGTTGCACTGCAAGCGACAGCTCACCAGTTTTGACTTGCAGGGAGACTTAGGCGTTTTGCGTGGGCCGTGACTTAGTTTTAATTTTAGAAGGATGGAACGAAGGAGACTGACACAACGAAAACCAAAACCACGGAGAAGGATGACAAGAAAGCGGGTGACAAAAAGGAAGAAGAGAAAAAAGATGATAAAGACGCAAAGGACAAAGGAAAAGGCTAAAACAACGCCAACTGAAAAGAAAGAAGGCGAAAAGGAAGGCGAAAAAGCAAAAGAAGGAGAAAAAGCGGCCGATAAAGACGCGAAAAAGGACGAAAAAGATAAGGCAGCTCAGGATAAGGATAAATCTCAGGAAGGAAAAGCCTCCATAGAAAAAGCACCAGAAAAGAAGGTGAGTTTTGATAGCCAATGATTACTCTTCAGCAGATGACGCTACAATTCCTAGTCTCGCACAGCCACTAACCCCTACTAACCTTTGAGCCTGATTGTGACCTACTCTTGCGCAAACAGTCCATCGGCAAGAATGATGCGGTAGAAATGCAGAAACGACAGCAGTTCAGAATTCCTCTAAATTTCATGCATGAATTCGTGAAAACTCGTACTTTTCAAAATAGTATTCCTTCCCCATATTCGGCTAAAGGACAGTACTACCCATTTCTTCAAGTACGACTTCAAGGGTTGTTAAGGTTTGCCATCAACCAAAGCTTTCGCGGTAATGCCCTCGTGGCTTACATATCGAAGTTGGCCCTTCAACTTGCCCGTTTTTATGTCCTCCCTGTTTCTTTCTTTACCCTGTATTTACGCAGCCGCCTTTTTATCCATTCTGACATGATAATTTACCCAACAACTCTTTTCGTGTTACAAAAACTGCATAGTAATTGAGTGTCATGCTGCAGGTTTGTGCGCAGGAGAAATTCTTCGCACAAAATTGCCGCCAAAATTCGGCAACACCCAAGCACCAAGGGTTCCCGAAAAGAGGCTCTTCGAGACGACGAGAAGGCAGAGACGCAGACGGGTCAGCGGACGAGTTGCAACACCGCAGTGGTTTCGCGCCAAGTTGAATAGA